TACATTAAAAAATCTAGTGTTATTCCACTTGATGTGGTCAATTCATATAGTTTTATGCCAAATCGTGCTCTTTTTGTACGAATATATTGCTTAAAATGCAACCGCCCCTTAAAAAGAACAAGTGTTTCGTCACCACTAAGATTTTGTCCAGGGCAGAATACATTTTTACATCGGTCTCTAATTAGTTCAATTAATGGTCGTACTTTGTGTAATCGATCACGGTTTTTATCATTTACATCATAATTTGGATCATTATTATTGTTGAAGTGTAAAAACTTCAAAATCAGTTGAAAACAAGTGCGTGACATAATTTTTGAGAATATTGGAGTGCTAAAAAATTCAGATGTAGACCAATACATATGAATATCAGGTTTATAAATAATTCCCATAAGCAAAACAAGAGCAAGATACTTCTTTATTTCTAAAACAGTCACCGGTTCCCAATTTCCTACATACTCGTTACTTGCTTTATTCGGGTTCCTATTGATAAAATCTTGAGCATATCGATTTGTTTCAATTACAATAAGTTCAATAATACTAGGTGTTAAATATAGTTCAACAAAATCTAAAAGAGAAGGATTTTCATGCGTCATTCTTACTCTAAGTCCCTCTAGTTCAAAAAAAGGTATAATTGGATCTGCAGTATTATCAATTTTAACACATTCCCATGTTGATATTAAATCAATTCCCTGTTGATTAATTTTTAAAACTCTAGCATTGGATTGTCCTCTTCTAACCCATGGCCTTCCTCTACAACCTCGATTGTTATTCCCTTTTTTTTCTTTACCTCTGTTAGTAACTTGAAGTATTCGATTTTTATTATTGACACTGTTTTTTTGAATACCACCGCGAACTTTTACTCTTTTTCGTTCTGCTATACCATTTTCTCTAGTGGAATCAGATAATTGATCAGAGAATAGGGTCTCCTTGTTCTTATTAGGGTATGTTTCCTCACTACTATTTTGTTCAATTTCTTCTTCCTCCTCCTCATCGATATCGATTTTATAAACATGATTTATTTGACGAAATTCTGGTAAAAAAGAACAGTTTTTATTCTGAAAATCGTTAGATAAAGGTGAATTAGGAGCTCGCACAAACTTTATATCTTCCTCTTCGTATTCCCAATCTGTTTCAGGTTCGCTTTGATCGGCTGATAATTCACCAAGGTCCATATCATCGCTGCTTTCATCCATAACTATTTTTAAAATTTCTTCCATATTTGAATAACTTTTGTAACTAGCCATTTTTAAAAATGCTATATCTTTTTAACTAAGATAAATTTTGACGAACGGTTTTCAGCCTATGATGTAATAACTATTCTATTTTCCATATCTGTAAAGAACACAACATAAAACGCTATAAAACCGTGTTTAAATTGTAGAAGTTGAAATGACCCGCACAGCGGATCACAGGGAAAATCGCGATATTAGTTACAACCCGCTGTGCGGGTCTCAGGGAGTGAAAGGGTTAACCTAAAAAATACTTTACAAATCCTAATTTCTTTTTATTATATGTAATATGTAATTATTTTTTAAACATTTTTATCAGAATTGGCCTATATTACTTTTATTATACGAGTTTTAGACATATGTTGTTGTTTTTATAAAAAAATTGAGTGTGGCTTTTTTTTTTTGCACCCCACTGTTCATATATATATATATATATATATATATATATATATATATATATATATATATATATATATATATATATATATATATATATATATATATATATATATATATATATATATATATATATATATGAACAGTGGGGTGCAATAATTAAGTTAATGTTTTTTGTTTAAAAAAAAATTATTTTTCAACTGAGGATCTGCCCAACCAAATCCTCAGTCAACATAGTGGCACCTTCTTGTAGCAGCACGGAATAAGATAGTCAATGTAGCAGCACTCCATTGTAGCAGCAAGCTATAAGATAGTCAATGTAGCAATACTCCGCAAATTATAATAAAATAAAAACTTCAGTATATATACATTTAAAATGTTTTTAAAAACATTCTAATCTTTTAATTTACGTTTTTATGATTTTTTTAAAAAAACAATAAATTTAATTAATTTCCTCAATACATTTTGGCATAATCTGACCTTAATTTTGTCTTGTTAGATGTCATAGAGAGTTACGTGCAGTTTTTATACAAAAACTGTAAGTTTGAGATCTTTACTACAGGAATATATATATATATATATATATATATATATATATATATATATATATATATATATATATATATATATATATATATATATATATATATATATATATATATATATGTATATATATATGTATATATGTATATATATATATATATATATATATATATATATATATATATGTATATATATATATATATATGTATATATATATATATATATATATGTATATATATATATATATATATATATATATATATATATATATATATATATATATATATATATATATATATATATATATATATATATATATATATATATAAATACTCTTGGTCATTTGGTATTAAAATGTCTACATTAAGTTCTTACTTTTTTTATTTTTGAGAAGCATTTTTTTTGGAGAATTGCAATTAATTTGTTCTTATATATACTAGGTTTCATTTTCACAATGTCTTGGAGTGATTGGATACTCTCTGTTACCTCTAATAGTTACTGGACTTGCACTTCCTTTTCTACATCAATTGCCAGCAATTTTTCCAATATTTTTCAAGGTATTCAATAGTTTTTTTTATGTAAATGGAGTTTATTAAATGAGCTTTTATGAAAAAAATATCTAAACAATTAATTCATTTTGAGTATATGGAGAAATATATAATTCAGGGAGCAAATTTCTTAAATTATTTATTTTCTAATATTTTAAAATAAACATATTTATAAATTTATAAATTATAATTTAAAAATTAAACTAGAAGAGCTTAGCTTTAAGAAATTTATTCTTAAATTATTTTAATAATGTTTTATGAATTACAATTTGTCACCACAGCTTACACAATACCAAAAAATGTAATTGACGTGATTGAGTGTTATGTTATGCTTTTATTATTATTTTATGGTTCTACTAACAGAGTTTTAGTTTCAATTTGTACAGTGTTAATATATTTTTAGTTGCAATTTCTCTGAAAGAGAATTTTTTTTATTCTAACTACTATTAGTTTATTGACAAAATAAACTAATAGTTGCTATAACAACAAATATTATTAAAAACTAAAAATATTAAAAATTAAAAACATTAAAAACAATATTTAACAAACTTGTTATTAAAAAAATAACAAGTTTGTTTAATATTGGCCTCAAAGGCTATGTGGAAATCCTGCATGGTCTTTTACCCTTAAGCTATTTATCTTAAAAGTGCTTTTTAGAAAAAAAAAATTGTATATATAATTACTAGAATTCAAAATCCTGGGATTCCGCAACTTTTAACATTCCCAAATTTTGGTTTTTTGAGCCTTAAATGAAAAGCTCCCTTAAATTTTTTTCAACTAAATACGATTTCTTTGGTTGAGATTTTACTATTTTTATGTTGTAAATTCCTAATATATTTTTTGTTGTTGTTCGATTGAAATCAAATTCAAACTTTACTAATTTGAAATTCATTTATGTTTATTAAATTATTATTATGTTTATTGTTGAATTCACTTAAGTATATGCGCTTATGTTTTTGAATATTGTAATTTGCAATTACATTTTTGAAATTTGTTGGTTCTTAATTGCGTTTATTCAAGGTTCTTAAAATTTTTATCCGAATAGACATTATTTGTTTGTGACTATTTTATAGTATTAGTTTTAATTAAATTAAAATTGTGAGTTATTTAAATAGTAAATTTTGTTAAATTTATAATGGCTTCTTACATGAAATTATAATGGCTTCTTACATGAAATTATAATGGCTTCTTCCATGAAATTATAATGGCTTCTTACATGAAATTATAATGGCTTCTTACATGAAATATTACAAAATATTATAAAAAAAAGTCATTCTGCTGTTTGGAAACATTTCTTATGAGAGGAAAATGGGCAAAGCTGATGGAGCAAGTATGTTGAAAAATGATTATTACTTGCTTCACTATGTATCAATATGTACTGTATCAAAGGCAGAATATAGAAAGAGAAATAGATTAGCAATTTGACAACGATGAACAATCAGATAAAATATTTGTTTTTCAGAGAGTCTTTGAAGGATGATGATTTTTCTAACAACAATAAATTGATTGATTTCGATGCTATTCATGATAGATCAATGTGACCAATGTGACATTATAAGTAAGTTGAGGTTTAGTGATCAAAAAGGTATGAAAATTAATAGAATTATTCAGACAATCATCATCAAAAATCAATATTTTGCAGAAGAATGTTGCGGCTGAATTTAGGAAACAACTAATAAAAGACTGTTAGACTAGATGGAATAGTCTTTACCCTATGCTTTCGCGCATCTAATTATTAAAAAATTGCATACAAAAGTCATTAATAAACATAAGTTTACCTGAAGGTGAATCTTTGGCTATATATAATAATGAGGTTAAAACTTTATCTGCCATCATTTATTTGCTAATCCTAATAAAGACAACAGTTGAGGCCCTTTGCTGGCAGGATGCTAATTTGTTTACAACCGATGTTGTAATAACTTTTATGTTGAAAAAACTTAAATGTGCTAATAATGTTATTAATACATATTATATTAATGATTTTAAAATAAATAAAATTTATATATTCAAATGATTGCTAAAAACTAGCACTCCTGAATTTACAAGTTTTACATTAGATGTACCCATAAGTAATCAACTATTTTTAGTGTGGAATGTTTGCTTCAGTTTAGCTCAGAGTTGAAAGTGTAAAGACCTGTTTTACTATGCAGTTTTACAATCCGTGTAATTTGTGACAAGTGAATTTAATTATTTTTATTACTCTTTTGTAAAACTGCAGACAGTCAACCAACTAAATAACATTTACTTCATTGCACGCTGTTTCATTTTCAGGTGTTAATGCAACCATTACAATAAAGAAAATTGATGTTTGAAGACGTAATGAAAGTAAATAAGTAAATGTTGGTTTAGAATATTTTCTGATGGTGGTTTTGACTTGTTTGGTAGTGAAATGAAGAGCTATGACTGAATTGTATTTCCAACAATTGGATAAATTGTACAGTTGTTTGTAAAACTTATTTCGATCCATGGACCACAACCTGAAAAATCAAATATTTTAGAAATGTTAACGATGTTAGAAGCATATTTTTCTTCAAAGAATACTATATTTTATTAGAATGGAATTAAAAGCCTACCAATACGATGGCAAAAGGTCCTAGATAGCGTTGGAGATAATATAATCAGTTGAAAATGAAATTATATGTAGTTAATTTTTTTTTTGTTGATTCTAAAATAATTGATTACTTATTTACACCATCCTGAAAATGATCAAAAAATAATTTTTTGTTCATTTTTATTTAGGGCTCCACAAATTAAATTCTTTATTTTTCTGATTTAAAGTGTTAATCTTTCCGCATAAGCATATTAGTATTTTGCATGATAAATTCACCTGTTATCTAACATTGGCCTAAAAAAAAAAGATATTTGCAAAAAATATTCATTATTACATTAGGTAAATTGTTTTTAACGATTGTAATAAATTAAAGAAATTAATTACTCATTCGCAGGAAACGGTCTCATACGGAAACAAGTTTTAATGTTTTGAAAAATGAAATTTATTAAAACGTATTTTTTATGTAAAATGATTATTTTAAACATTGTGGTGTCAATTATAACAACTTTTTATGAAAATGTTTTTTTTTTTTTTTCCTAATAGTGTTCATAATATAAAAAACATAAATATATATATATATATATATATATATATATATATATATATATATATATATATATATATATATATATATATATCAATTTAATTATTTAGGTTGCTGGCATCGTATGGTCGTCGTATAGTGCAGGATCGTTGCTCGTACCAGAAACACTTTATACCAAACGTTTATTATTGCTATATCCAATCTTTCTTCTCTATGTGTATTTTTTCTCATTGTATACTGGCGCTTAGAATAATCAAAAACTTAACGTTCTGCAAAACAAGTATTGTTTGCATCTCGATTAGATAACTCTTTTTTCCCAAATACGGTATTAAGATGATTAGTTGGTGTTTGTAAATGAAGATTACAAATAATTAACGAATGCTCTTTACTATGAACCAAATATGTTTTATGACATATTCGGTTCATAGTTAAAATAGTTTCTCATTTAGAAATACAACTAAACCTTTATTGCTTGTCCAATCAAAAAGGATGTCTTATCTATTTACTTACTGCGAAGAATATAATTTATTGATGATCTTTTGAAACTTGGATACAACAGAACGTTTTTGAAAATACAACAGGACGTTTTTTTACTGGTGTTGTCAACAAAAGGTTGTGACGTTTGCGGCTGCATAATCTTAATGGTTTATTTTTTTAAATCTAACATATTCGTTTTGTAAAATAATTTATTTAACATAGTGTTGAGAATAAATAAGTAAATTTTTTTTTCGTTTTTGTTTTTTTTTGTTCAAGTCTTGCCAGAAATTAGAAATTAATACTCAAGGGTGAATTCCCCCATGGAAATTTTTTAAAACAATTTGCCTAGTTTGGTGATGAATTGTGAATGAATTTTCTTGTAGATTGTAATTGAATTGTCGAAAATTTGTCAATAATTTTTCAATTTAAGTTATAAGGAAACATACGGCAAAATGACGTGCTTGTGTAAAACAGATTTGTTCCCACTCTTCCTGAAAAACCTTAAGTATTTTAAAAAATAATAATAACCTCCTTAAAAAGAGTTCAAATTTGACTGCTCTTTTTAATTTTAAAGTGTGTGTGTGTGTGTGTGAATCGGTTTTTGAAAAAAAAACTTCTCATTAAAAGAATTTCTGAATATTAGTTTGAAAGTAAAAGCTACTGTTTTATTATTGGTAAGTTTTGATAAAGTTGGCATTGGTAAAGTTTGATAAAATTAGTGCGGTACTTTTTAAATAATTAAGTGTAAAAATACTTTTTTAAAAATTGCATTTTAACAAAAACTTAAAATTAATTAAGGTAAAACATTTGAAAAAAAAAAAAAAATCAACTTTTGAAGGCTCAGTACTTTTATTCATGATTGCAACACAAATTATTAGAACATAACATAAAAAATTATTATTATTATAGCCAATCATTATTAGTCAATTCTGGATCAATGTCACTATCAGCGATTTCGGCTTCAGTTGTTAGTCCTGATATTGTTGTACTCTTTATGCTGAACTGGGATGTAGTTCATTATCTTTTCAATGTCCATTATTTTTGCTTTTTATTTATCGGTACTTTCTCTGCAGGGTAGGCTGGAACAGCGTCTTAGAGGGCGGTTGATCAGCGTCATAGACAAAAAAATGTGAAGACTATTTATGATGAAATACCCTTCTAGATATACTTTGTTTTGTTTTCTATATACAAATTGAAATAACGTTATAATTTGGAAATAGATTTTGTCTTTTTTTCCAACCTTTTTACTTTTGGTCTCTTGTAAAATGCACTTTTTGCAGTAGGTTTTCATCCATGCATTGTTGTTAAAAATGTTTATGGAAAAGGTTTCACAAACTGTAAACTTGTCTAGTCTTGCTGTGCTTGATTTAATGTACTCCGAAACTTTATTAACAAATCAAATATATACTGAATATAGTTGTAATATCTAGGATATTTACAAATAGTAATTTATACTAATATAAAGTAAGCACCTGTCAGACTAAATAAAAATAAGATTGAGATAATAATTGTAATACAAGTAGGAATAGTAAAATAATAGTAGTGATTATAGTGATAAAAAATAGTAGTAGCGATTTTAAAAGTATATACTATAATAATAATAATAATAATAGTAAAATAATAACAATAATAATAACCACAACAATAATAATAATATTCATTATGATAAAAATATAGTAATAATAACAACAATAGTGATAAAGAGTATACTATTGAAACATTTCAGTTTAAAATAATAAGAGATATTACAACTGAAATATAAAACGGAAAAACCTTATTAACTAGAACTAAGTGAATATAACTAATGATAAATAAATAATTAAAAATATAATGTGAAAAAGCGAAAGAAAAAAATTTTAAGTTAAATAATTATAGTAAAAAATAATAATTACAAACTAAAACGTGAAAATAAATAAATAACCAATCTTCCTATTCTTTTTAAAATTGTTTTTCTTCTTTCTTGTTTGTTTACTTATTTCTTCTTCTTTTTTTTCTTTTTTGTTGACTTTCTCTTTCTTTCTTTCATTTTTTTTTTCTTTTTTTTGTTTAAGTTTATTAAAGTGCTTTTTTTTTTAATAATTCGAAGTTCTTTTTTTTCTTGATTTTTTTTTTTTTTTTTTTTTCTTGATTTTTTTTAAGCGTTTGATTTAAATCAGATTTTTAAAAGATTGTTAACTATTTTACAAAAAACTTCCTATTCTAAGGTTTTTAAGAAATTTTATATTGAAAAATTATCTGTTTATCCTATCCTTTTTCTTTCTTTTTCTTTTATTTTTTTATCGTTTTACCACAGTGTATATGTGGTAATGTATTCTCAGATATTTTGATATGAGATTCAAGTCTCAATCGCAAGGAAGAAAACTATACCCTCGTACAGTTGAACTTCCCTAAATCAGTAAGAAAAAGACAAAATCGAATCAAAGACTGGTTTTTGTTTTGGCCGCCACAAATGTCATAAAACAGCCTTAATTCTTAATAATTTCCAGTTCAGTCATAGCATTTATATATTTGAACTATAAAGTAAAAACTTTACTGAGTTCCTTTAAGCCACCCCTTCATGATATAAATAAATTAATACTTTGTTTGATGTTATGGATGCCAAAAATATTTAATGATAACTGCCGTAAGTAATAAAAATCTTGTACTTTTTTGAAGATATATTTTATGAAGTTAAAGCTAAAGACAAAACTTTTATCTTTAGCAGCATCGGTTCAAAGCTAAATAGAACTTATTGCTTCTTCATTTGTAAACTACGAGTTCAGTTTGTTTTGGAACAGGGTTTAAATGAAGGGATTTAATTTTTTGTGCAGCACACATCTATTTGTCGGCGTGCAAGCAAGTATTTGAAATTTTCCTTGTAATAATTCTAGTAAAATGATTTTCTAACTTTAGACTTGGGGGGTTTAGCCTAGAGCATTCTACACATAAATTTTACGTTGGTCTCTGACGATAAATAGTACTTTTTTGTCACTATAGTGTGATTGTTTTAAGGGAAATGATTTGAGATGTTCAGATAGAGAGTAGTGAACTTCTTATGGTCAGGAATATCTTATACCTTTTCCTCTCTTATCTTTTGGGATCTTTCCCATAAGCTTAAGTTGTCTAATTATTTTTACTCTTTTCTTGCTTATTGAAATTACAGCTAATAAGACATTAAAATATATACTTTTTCAATAAGTGCCCACTGTTATATAATACTTGAAAGATACAGTCTTTGGACCCCAGTGGTATACATGGTCTCTTAGTTGCCTTTGCTGGACATTAACTACATCAGTTCTACTAAATTTATTTTTTGAATTAATGTTTTAAAAATTAGTAAAAATATCAAGGCAATTCTCTTCCCCCATTGAACATAGATATTTCTTAGAACGCCTCTACATAAAATAGTATTTTATAAATAAAAGTCTACATAAAAATAGTATTTTAAATCTTATAAATATTACCAATATATTATATCTTCCAAATAAAAAAAGATTTCAATTATTTTGGCATGCGCAAACAAAAATCTACATCAGAATTTGCCATAGTAGATTAAAATGTATAGAATAAAGCAATTGCATTTTTGATATTACCATAATGTCAATATTGCAGATTTGACTATGTTAAATTTGTAATTGCAACGTTAAAAAATATATTATCTATAATATAGACAACATATAGACTTATGTTAGATATATGATACACTATATGATATGGCTATATGTTGTATAGAATAACTGAAGCAAATACAAGAAATACTAAATAGAAGCAATACAAAATTGGTTTACACACCTTTAACAAAAACTACGATGTTTGCTAGTTTATTGTGTTGTTATGGATACAGTTATAAACTTCCTGCAAACATAAATCACTGCGTCTATCTTCAAACAATTAAAAACCATATCAAGCTCGTTTTGACAAAATACTCAACATATACCCTTTTAACAAAGACCAATTCATCTATAATGTAGATAGAATACTTTTTTAAACTAGTGGTATATGTTTCAAAAGGCCATGTTTTGAAATTTGAAATTAACTTGTTTGCGTTTGTCTTTCACTTTCTATCAGTAATATCATTTGTTTTCTCATACTGATATGCATTTGTTATCAATGCATATCAGTAATTGCATTTGTTATCAATGCATATCAGTAATTGCATTTGTTATCAATGCATATCAGTAATTGCATTTGTTATCAATGCATATCAGTAATTGCATTTGTTTTCTCTGCAAGTTAAAACCATTATATATAGAAGAAGTCTGAGCAATCAATCGATCATTTCTTTTAATTACAGATAAATATACATACTTTAGGGAAAAACCGTTAGCTAGATATTAAACAATTTTGAGACTAAATACAAAAGATCATCATAAGTTTTTCATAAATTATCTTTAGATACCTAAATATACAAGTAGGGTTATTCCATGCAAAGACCATTTTTCAAAAATATCTAAAATAAATAAAGTAGATTTAAAAAAATTGAATTAACAGACACATTAGTACATCTAAAAAAAATATATTCACTTTGTCAATTATATTTATGCATGTGTAGGAGATGTTAGTAGCAATTTTTAATATTTTATGAAAAAACTATACTTCTTAACATGTTATATATTAAAGTAAATAATGACATATAATTTTTAGCAGCCGTGGCGCAGTGGTTATAGTTCTGGCTTAGAACCCAGAGGTTTGGGGTTTGACGCCAGTTCTAGGCTAACAAGCGACATTGGTACGGAAGGAGGCGTCAACTTCCTGTTAAATACTCTCCCGCGGTGCTCTATGATAAGACCGTAAGGACTTCTGGGAACACCTAAACATTGCGAAAAAAAAACAAAAAAAAAACATGGAGTTGCGTTAAACGTTTTTTTTTTAAAATTAAACATTAGTGATTAAATAAGTTTGTTAATAAGTGATATAATCTCAACTTTTTGTGCTATTAAAAAAAGTAGTTTTCACAACCTAAATTTTCTTTTTTTAATTGGAAAATATTTAGCGAGAGCAATTTAGTTGAAAAGAATATCAATTTTTTTTATTTTAATAAAATTCTTGTCTGTAAAAAACTAACTGCATTTCTTTTTAGTCACAACCGCAACTTAACGATTGTTTTGACGTTTAAATGCGTCAACGAGATTAAATTCGAGAAACTTTTATTTTAAACACGTGTTATAAAAAGTATTTTAAATAATACAACTGTGTATTTAAAAATCAACGGAAATAGTTATGAACTATTTTAAAAAGTCATTACTTTGACATATTCTACATAATAATACAGGCAGAATATAATTATAAAAACAATACCCTAATCGCACAAACAAGTTTGTAGTATATAAGTTTGTTTGTATAAAGAAACAAAGAAGACTGAATTAAAAGAAATAGAAAAAAAAAAAATTTGTCGCCAACAATCAACGCCAGAGCAAGAATTGAAAAAATAGAGCTTGCTAAATCACGACAACCTAAACACAGAGCTTCAAAAAGCTCAACGTATCTTTGATATTCCTTGTTCTTTTTCTTATTAGATGAAACAAGTCTGTCATTCAAGTTTATCACAAGGTTCACAGCTCGTGCTGTGAACCTTGTTCAATAAGCTTTACCAAAGTCACCACGAAAAACAGGTTATGTAATTAAGCAGTTAACAATAAAAATCTCTTTACCAGATATACCAAAGATACAAAAACGCTTAGTTTTGTTCCAGCTGTTCTATCAACCGAATGCTACCACCATCCGAGGAGTAAAATAAAGAATGCATAGAAGTTAGCTATATAAATTGGTACAAAGACAAGGTTACAAATCTTATACAGCAGGGGATTGATCAAACATTCTTTGTATGCAACAAATACAGAGTTTTAAAAAAATACTACCTCAATTTCAGATTCACCATTTAATTATATGTCATCAAGCGTCTATTTATCGGCACCAAATGGAAACTAAACTTCATTTAAGTTGAGTAATTTAACTAAATTTTTGAATTCAAGTTTATAAAGTTTTTTAAGGTGATCCCATACTTTGCTTACTCCTTTATCATTAAAATTAAGTTGACCAGTTTATTTAGTGAGCCACATATTTTAATATTTTTAAGCAAATGGACATAATCAAAGATTAAGAAACCAGGGTTTATCTAGAGCTGATATTTCAAAGATTCTAAAAAATGCCTGAATAATTCCATCTCCATCGCATACTATAGCTTTAATTTTATTAGCAATGCCAATTTATTCAAAAAGAAATTGAGAGTTTAATTTACTTATAGGTATTATTTTGGAAATAAACGATGGTCCACCGAATAAGCATTTAACCATTAGACCCAATATAATTTTGCAAGAGAATGTAAGTTGTCGATTGCTTTTCATGTGTGTGTGTGTGTGTGTGTGTGTGTGTGTGTGTGTGTGTGTGTGTGTGTGTGTGTGTGTGTATGTGTGTATGTGTGTATGTGTATATATATATATGTGTGTGTGTATGTGTATATATGTATATATATATATATATATATATATATATATATATATATATATATATATATATATATATATATATATATATATGTATATATATATATATATATATATATATATATATATATATATATATATATATATATATATATATATATATATATATATATATATATATATATATGTATATAACAGTAGAAATAGTAATTACAAAGCTAATTCCAAAAAATTATTTCTAATTTTACTTAATTAACTTTTTATATAGACATAGATATACGCCAAACGGCGCTATTAAGGGAATCTGCGTAAAGATTTTTTTTGGAGTTTTATACCCAAAAATGCTGAATCATCTTCGATTTCCTTTTTTTAGGTATTAAAGTATAGAAAAAAATAAACATATATATAATAGTTATTATACCAGAATTTATTTTAAGATTGTATCATTACTATATTAATGTATAAAAGTTATATTAATGTATTTTAACCAATATGATACGTAATAATTTTATATATACTTTTTCTTTTTATCACGATAATAAATGTATATTTTATATGGTATACCTGGAGAAAAAAAAAAAAATAAAAAAAAATAAAAAATGCATAATAAGTTTTACTTCTATCTTACAAACCTCAAAGTTCTTAATAATAATTAGTACGGATTTAGAAAAAGGCCCTCGACAGAACATGCAGGAACCAAATAAGTTAGCGAAACTTTATTTGGGTTTGAAAAAGCCTTTCACACTTTACAAACTTAGAAGTTATGGATACAAAATTTTGTTTATATCTTAAAAAACACAACGTGTATCTTTTGACGATTTCCGCTCAAAATTATAAAACATTACCTGAGGAGTTACACAAAGTTACACAAAAATCTTTATTGTTTATTATTTAAATTTTATTGTTTATTATTTCAATATTTACTTATTATCTAGTATCCGAAATTAGAATTATTTTGCTGACGACGCTCAAATTTTATATAACCATTCTAACATTAGGACAATCTTTATCACTATGAGTCGTGAATTTGACAACTTCAATGATTGGCTTAAAGCCAACTCTCTGTGAACACAACTAAAAACAAATATACTCTCTTTTACAAATCTAAATTTTCATTGCGTTCGGAAAAAAAGATGACAAATGCTTATTCTAATCCTATATCATAAACTTAAAGTTACTTTTTGTGTTTTGAAATTAAACGGAGGAGAGAGGGGTATAACAACAATTAATACCGAACAAGGCCAAGATCAACACAGCTTTTGCACGAGAGTGCTAATAGTCGCTGTTGTTTTGAGGTATTAATAATCCGCTGTTGTTTTGCATAACAAGGGAGACAAGTGTTCGCCTAACAGTTTAAATAGTTTTTTTATTAAGTTAAAAAGTTTAATTTTATAAATTTACTTTTTAACGTAAACTCATTTAAGTACATTTTGCTGGAAGTGTTTCTTCGGTCTCCAGTTTGCGCGTAGGCAGATTGTACTTCTACATTGCTTTAAAATTCTACATTGGGGGCCATCCATGAAGTATGTACGCAGATATGGCTGGAGGGCGTTACCCAAAAGCGTACATGGGGGAGGGGTGTTAAAGAAAGTGAGTACATACGCGGTTTGACTATCTCTCCTAAACTTGATTTTTATTTTTATTAAAACATTGAATTTCACGTGTGTAACAAATCAGTATTGTATTTTTTTTCTTCTGACTTTAGTCACAATTTTTTTTTAATTCCTTCTAAAAAAAAAAAGAAATCGAGCGACAAATAATATGGTTTATTATTCGCAACGTAATTTCATTGGTAGCGAGATGAGAAGCAAAAAGACGTCAAATAAAAGCAAACATTTGTTTGAATTCCTTTTTTTTTAAATTACTGTATGCAGAGTGGTTTTTATCATTTTTCTTAAAATGTTAAAATATGTTGTAACATTTTAAGATTTAAATAAGTACATTAAGTAACATTTTAAGTTTGAATTAAGTGCAGAGAAATGTCAAACCAACCAATTTACGCGTTGGGAAAAAAAAAAAAGGGGGTGAGGGTCTTTTTTCTTGAAAAAATAAGTACGTACACGAAGAGGGGGGGGTATCTTCGATAGCGTTGGCACAAGGGGATAGGGGGTCCTAAATCAGTGGTTTTACTGCGTAAGGTTTACAAAGACAAGAATTGTACCGTTTAATGTGCACATTTATATGTATTTAATAATTAGGATTTAAAAAAACAATAAAACAATTTAATATATATATATATATATATATATATATATATATATATATATATATATATATATATATATATGTATATAATGTATATAAAAAACAATCTTTAAATTATTGTATCAGGTCTTCAGGTAAATCATTCAAACTTGGATAACTTGTTTGAGTACCATGTTTAGTCACCGATATCGACGCTATCGCGACAGATCTACGAACAACTTCATTAAAACTAAGATCCTTCCGCTGGGCTAAAAAATATGCAAGGGATCCAACAAAACAATCACCAGCTCCCTAACAAAAAATGATAAAAATCAATTAAAACAATTTTGAAAAAATTTCTCTCAAAAATTCAACTTATATTGAAATACAAGAACTTTAATACTGGCTTGTAGCGAATATTTTATAGTGTTTACGATTGTCTCGTTAAGTAAATAATAAAATGAAAAAAAAAAGTTTCTGTTTGTGGCCAACTAACAGAATTACAAAAATCTCACCCTCACGCCCAACGCTTTCACATATGTTACAATTAAGTAAAAAAAAATACTTCTTAAAATTTTTTTTAATTAGCTTTCAAAAATTTTAAAAATATTTAGCGATATCTGAATTATATAAACCCAGAATTAAATATTAAATTTTTAATAAGATTCATATATTAAGTTTAACTTAATTTATCTTAAAAATTACAATATATAGTATCGTTAAGTACATAGTAATTCAGATTTTATATTTACATTTATGTACATTTTATCATATCTAACAAAACTTTAAATCGTGGAAAATTATTTCTTTGTTTTTACAATATTTTTAAAATATTGATGTAAAATGAATTTTCTTGTTACTCAAGAGTTTTAATTTTGTTTGGATTGTTTACGCTTTATGTTCCGTTCAATTTTGTTCCTATTGTTTACGCTTACGTTAACACAAAAATCTAGAACTGCAGTACCAGATAAATAATATAAAAACATAAATCTCATTCCTAATAAATACCCATAAGGCTATTATAAATACCCATAAATCTCATTCCTTATAAATATCCATAAGGCTAACTTTAGGTTTACTTAATATAAACCTTATTATTTTTAAAAACAATATCTTGTCAATTATTAGAATTTTCTATAGCAACGCGATTAGTGATCACTATTTTTTATAGCTATATTATTAGAAACTTCTGCAGCTATATTATTATAGTCTTTGATTAAAATTATATTATATTATTAATTATATTATTATAATCTTTGATTAATTTCATTAGGTTATTAAAGTAAAAATGTTTGTTTCACTAAAAAAATAATGAAATTAATGAAATAACTTAATGAAAAAAAAGTATTAGCTTTCACTTTTATTTACGAAGTTATTGTTAATAATGCTTGAACTTTAAAAAATAAAAGATATACCGTAGTATCAACTACTTTATCAACTATAGAAGGTGGTGTCAGTATATGATGAACAGCATCTGATCCTTTTTCACCAAAAATAGCTCCATATGAACCCATTGTCAATACCACTTTCAAGGGGCCTTTGCTAAGTAAATTACGAACTGCATTTTCGCAATCTGTTACAGGAAAGTCCAAATTAATCGATAAACCTGTCAATATTTCTGCCTAAAAACAAAAAAAAATGTGCACATGTACACAAATTAAAGGCAATGACAGGTAAACGAAAACAAATCAAGTCACATGCACAAATGTATGTATGTTCGTATGTACGTACATATGTATGTTTGTACGAATATATATGCGTATAATATATATAAACACAAATGCAGCTGAAAACCTTAATAACGACTCCTAAAAAAACAGTAACAACCAACCTGTTTTATAACAGCCTAATAAATAAAACTAATTATTTAAAATACATATTTACATCTCCAAGGTTGTAGGGACATACTTTGGTAGAGGCTATAATATATCCTCCTTATCTCAGCCATATAAACCAAAAAAAGTTAAACGTACTAAGAGAGCTCCTAACAACTAAATCATTGTTACATATATATGGGATGTTTATAGTTGATTAATTCATAATATTATAAAACTTCTAAAAGATAGTAGGTCAATGCATATTTGACAAAGCAATAATATAATAATAAAATATCAACAAAACATGATATAAATTACCATTTTTTAAAATATTGTTTAAAATCATCATAGAGGATTTTTTATAAAAGCACAAGTATAAGTTGTTACTTTTACGCTCACTTGTGTCCATATTTATAAGTGCGTGTGTGTATATATATATATTAGGGTGCATCTAACGCCCCATACTTTCAAAAATTGATCTGTCCCTATTCTTAAAACTTTCTATTGGTACTCGCAAGACACTCTGTTAAATTTTTTCAAAATTGAATGAGATTTAGGGGGGCCACCTCAAATCTGAAACTTGCGACGAGACCCTAAAAAGAAGAAAAAAAGTTTTTCAAATGTATGTCATGTTGGGTCTCAAAAGAAGCGAAATTTTATAAAAAAATTTCAAAAACAAAAAAAATTTTACATAATATTTATTATAAGTTTTATTGCATAAAAATTATTTTTTAGCAAAAAATTTAAAAAAAGCTAATTTTTTATGGTTTTTGGTCGAAATTTTTTTTCAAGGTATATTTAACAAAAAATCATAACTATTTTTGAAATTTTTATAAAGTTTCGCTTCTTTTGAGATCCAACATGACATATTTGAAAATTTTTTTTTTCTTCTGTTTAGGGTATATATATATATATATATATATACATATATATATATATATATATATATATATATATATATATATATATATATATATATATATATATATATATATATATATATATATATATATATACATATATATATATACATATATATATATACAGATATATATATATATATATATATATATATATATATATATATATATATATATATATATATTCATATATATATATATATATATATATATATATATATATATATATATATATATATATATATATATATATATATATATATATATATATATAGTCCTCTGTGAGAAGAGCTCTAAATCTGAACATACTTATTCTTAACTCTCACTTTGGATTAATTATACTTAAACTATTATACTTAAACTATAAAATGTCTGATCTGATTTAAAAATGAAAGATTTTTTAATGAAACTCGCAATATATGTTAAAATATATGTTAACTTTTATTAAATGATTTTGATTAAATTATACAAACATTTTCTACACTCTCCCCTCGCCACTAATACCACCCAATGATAATGTAACTAAAGTTGATGGTGGAAATCCATCTAAAGTTAGAGTTCCTTTTTGTTAAAAAATATTAGTTATTTTACTAAACATTAAACTGCTATCATTTTTTAGCTGTATAATGAAATATTGTCAATTATACAATTAAATCAAAAGTAATCAATTCTCTAATCAAGTAGAGTACTCAGTGTAAAATTATATTTGTAGTGAATGACTACATTTAACAAGATAAAGTTGAGGAAATATAAGAAAAATGATGAACATTTTCAAATGGTTAAAAAATTTGAACTAAAATATAGTAAATAGCTTGATGAAGGAGAACTTGAAAAAAAAAAAAGAACTACAAAAGCGTTCACAACATCATTATTTTTTTTTTTATTGATTAAAGAAAAAGAAAAGTTTTTTTATTTGATTTAATAAAATGTTTAAAAACGAAAGATAAACGAGATGCAAAAAAAAAATATAATCGTTTTATTAGCCTTACAAGAACTGCTTAATTAATCAATATTTTATTAATAATTTATTAATAATTTAATGAATCAATATTTTAATTGTTAATTATAATAATAATAATTTTAATTATAATAAATTTAATTATAATAATGATAATTATAATTATAATAAATTTTTTAATCAATAATCAATACTTTATTAATAATTTAATTAATCAATATTTTATTATCCTTACAAGAACTGTTTAATTAATTAATTTAACTGTTTAATTAATTAAACTGTTTAATTAATTAAGTTGTTTAATTAATCAATAAATTATCAACAAAAAACAACTAACTTATGTCAGAAACATGTTGAGATATTTCTTAAATGCTGAAAAAAGCTACAGGTTCAGGTCATCAAAGTATTACATTGCCTGTCTACAAACATTTCTAGGATTTGACTTTTGGGTAATTACACATCAAATCACCAAGTTCTTCCCTTTTTTTTTTTTTTAATCTTTTGACTTATGATTCCTATTTAGAAAAAAAACATAGGATACAAAATTTCAGCTAAAAATGTTGAGCAGTTGAAAAGATATGGCAATTTTGGTTTCCTAAAAACCAGGTTTTCATGACATTAAAAATTTTTTTTTTTTTTTTCTAAATTAAATGAGAAATAAAAATGGCAAAATATAAAAATAAATCCTTAAATTGCTTTTTTGACATTGAATTCAATGAATGTACTTTTACTGCTGAAATACGAATAGAACATGCTTAAAAATTAATAAAATAATATCTTAAAACACCCTTGTTTAAAGTTGTTTTTTTTGCTTTTAATTTTTTCATTTGCTTTTAGTTACTTATAATCTTAGATTCAAAAATCTAACTCAAAAAACAACAGCAATATATGCCAGAGTTTCAAAAATCCTAGATATTAATTATCAATTTAAAAAAAAGATTTAATATCAAAAATATATCCTAGATATAGTAAAACAGGGTAAAATGAAATAGCGGGTAGAATGAAATTTATGACAATGTTTATTCTTTTGCTCTATTGAATAAATTTTGTTCAAATATTTTTCGGTAATGTTGTAGAGAATACTTTTTTGAGTAAGATGATGTCAAATTTTATTTTTAATAAAAAAAATATTGTTACAAATTGTTAAGTTTAAGAATGCGTAATAAGATTTTTTTTATTATTTTGAAAAATGAACTTAAAACTCTTGTAAATTAAATTTGATATCACTGAACCTAAAAGGTTTTTTATGGTGCAACTTTGATATCATTGAACCTAAAAGGTTTTTTATGGTACAACTTTGATATCATTGAACCTAAAAGGTTTTATGGTACAACTTTTTACGCTGATCAGGAATCTTTTTTCAAAATTAAATTTGTAATTTAGGAAAAAAAGTTATGAGTAAAAAACGGAAAAGGAGTGTTGTGGGGTTGAGTGAAATACGCTAATAAATAAATAAATACGAAACAATACCTTATTTCTTAAAAGGGGCTTTTTTTATTAGGTCTCAAGTGACCAATAAATCTCCTAGTATAAAATTTTTGTATAAATTTTAATGAATGAATTTTTTCTAACTGAATTCAAATGACTTTTACTTGCTGCTTTTATAAAATGGTTCTAACAAATGAATGAAATACGCTAGTTACTCTCTTGTTAATTTGCTTATCAGCTCACTCATTACACATTCTGCAGCCACTAGATGATGGTGTTTATTGCCATGTCAAAAGATTTGGCGCAAATTACTTCAACAGTTTTATGCAGAAACAAAGTTCAGCAACTTATCAAAAGAATGTTTCAGTCACCTGAAAAAAAAACTTTTCAGCTCTGGTGAAGTTTTTACACATACCCAGATAGCCATTGGGTTTCAGAATACTGGCTTGTTTCTACTTGACATCAATAAAATCCATCAGTCAAAGTTGCAAATTCCTAATACATTTGAAACACCGACATCTGAACCTGAGCCTTCATCATCTCAACAACCAGAATCTATGATAGTACCATCACCAAATCTAGCACCAGGAACTACACTACTTCAGCCACTGCCTTTTAAATCTACACCAACAACATCTAGCATCAATTCAAAAAGAGGTTGCAAAACAACTAAAATCAAAATGTTTTGTATCAAACACATTGACACACAAAAAAAAGAGAAAAAATTTAGATGTGCCAAGACTCGAAGGTAAGTGTCTCAACAAACCTGAAATACTTAAAAGGTCCTGAAATAACCTGAAAATAAACAAACCTGAAATATTTAAAAGATGCTGAGAGCAAAAAAGCAGTAAAGCAAGCTAAAAAACAACATAAGCTTAGCTCTAATGGAGAACAGCAAATAAACCAAGCAACAAGTCCAACGAAAATATTAGCTGCAAACCAATTCAAGTGTAAAAAGTGCCGAAAAGTTTTGGGCAAAACTTCAGCGAGTCAAAATATGGAATGGCACCAGTGTGAAATTCAAATTGCAAGGTTTGGCTATGTCAAACATGCATACTAAAGAGATACGCAAATGGTGCTGAGTTTTATTGCACCAAAAAGTGCCACACAAATGAAAACTCAACTCAACCTCTAGTACCTCTAAATGACTCAACATCATCACAAGAATAAAAAAGTTTATTTTTGATTGATTCTTCTAATTGTTATTATTGATTATTTTTTTAGTTGTTATTATTGATTGCTCTTTGTTTTTCTCATATCTTTATTTTTAATTACACTTATATTTGCCTATTTCATTCTCCCCGAATGTCAATGTAGAATGGAATAAATTTTTTTTTAATCAAATAAAGTTCCATAAAAAACTTTACAAAAGAATTGTTAGATTTTTATATATTTAAATACAGCTCAATACTCTTTACAACTTTAAAAAAAAAATAAAAAAATCTTTTTTCCGTAAAAAATTAATGAACAAAACCCTAACCATTCCATTTGACCCCATTTTATTCTATTAGATAACAAGAATTTCAAAAATATTTCCATTTGCAAATACAATAAAAATAAACTAACTGTAATTAGTTTATTTTTATTGTATTTGCAAATGGATAAAAAAAAAGTTACTGAAAAGTATAAGTTTTACAAGGAATTGAAGGCATAAATTTGATTGTATTTGTAATAGTTTACAATACCTTTGCCATTTTACTAGTATTTCTTCATTTTCTGCTTTTTGTTTAAACATAAAGTTTCTACAAAAACTAGAGCTTATGGAGCAGATAGTTTTTCAATGTTTTTGTTTGGATTAAAACAGTAGAATTTGGTTTTGGTTTAGTCCTTTCAAACTTTTTTTTATATTTTTCCAACCTTTTACAGCAATGGCAGTTTACTACAGTACTGGCACTTCCATCTCATGGTGATATTCTGCAAAAACATGAAAAAAGGTTTCATTCAGCTTTAAGACCCAATCTACTCGTAAGTTGACATAGATTGTAAAAACTTTTACATTTTTTTACTGCCCTGCACAACCATCAGTGAATAAATGTAAACTGGACAGATTGAGAAATTTTGTTCTTAGTATGGGTAAGATTAGTTAAAATATTTTGTGCACATGGATTACTTTTTGTGAAATGTTGGCTGATATAAAACAATAAGAAATGTTTTAGTACACATTCATCGTTTTTATATTATATCATAACTGATGAAAAAAACATTGTTGGGTGTTTCAGTGATAGCTTTGTTTTTTTTTATCTTGGCTAATTATTATTATGCCTAATTGATCCATACTTTGTTTTAGTTAATTAAGTTGGAGAGGGCAATTAAGGAAAGAGCTTTTAGCGTTTTAAAAGCAAGATACTAATAATTTAAGAAATGTTGAAACATTTGTTGTAAAACTCAATAGAGCTGCACAATACAGTTTAGTAGTATCACAAAACCATCTTCATATTCTTCAAAATTCACATACAAGTAGGTGGTGAACGGTTCTTTATCAAGACAATCATAAGACTGTGCAAGCATTCACAGCGTTATGCATGCACATTCTTTATTTTTTTACCAAGCAAACAGTTTTTCAAAGTAGATTCTTATCAACTATTTCTTAACAACTAGAATGTGTAACAATTGCACTTGGCAAAATGTACCAATTTGGTTTAAATGAAGCAAAATTTGAATAGCTTATTTATATTTCAGGATTGTTTTCTTTGTATAATACATAGTATTCTTTTAAATTACACAAAAGAAGTTTTTTTTGTTGATTTTCTTTCCAATGCTTACGTAATATTTTTTTCCAGACATAGTTCAATATAAAACACTTGATTCATAAAATATTTTAGTAGAAACTTCTACATCTTTAAGTAAGACTTTATACAATAGAGAAACAGCTAACAATTCTATTTTGTTAAAAATCTGTCTAGCCATCTTTGACAGGTATTCTTTTAATGATAAAATCTTTAAATTTTTACATCAAATAGATCACAACAAGCTTTCTGCCATATAAGATGCATTTTTAAACATTTAGGTTTTTCGTATAATATTGTTAAGGTTAACAATTCAACATTACAGCATAAAGATATATCCCTGTTTTTTTAACCATTGTTATATGTTTCAATAACATCTTGTTGGCCTTTGCATGCCTCTGATGTCATTAAGAACACATTTCAATAAGATAATTAACTTGGTATGAATCATAATAAGGAAGTATTTTATAAAGCAAATAAATAAATTCATCTTTAAAAAATAAAAGTTTTTAATGTATAAATAGTTCAAACATTTTTAGATTCCTCATTTAGCATGATGTTTTGCACTGTTATATATTTATTATAGATATTGTTAATTTTTATCAATATTTTTATTTACCAAATTTCTTATAACTCAAAAATTTTTTTACCAATTAATGTGGTTCTATAGCTGAACTTTTTATGAACTATATAATTGCCAATTGTGTGATATTTATTTGATAAATAAATATCACACTTGGTCACTTTTTATAAAAAAACAAAGCAAAGCAGTTTTTATAAAAAAACAAAACACATTCCTGTTTTTAGTTGTTAAAATCATTAAACTTATATGTAATTATGCAAGACTAACGTAAAGGGATCCCAAACCTCCAAGACATGTTGTGTTCATATTAAAGAGAATGATAAAAAAAATGTTTGGGCTAAACTTTTTTAATTTTAAAAAAAGAATAAATGCATACCAAGAAAAACTTTTTATTTTAGTTGAAGCTCACCTTTTCTGTTTTGTTGTCGGCCAAAAAGTCTTCATAATATATACCGCCTTCTACAGACTTGATAATTTATTTAAGCGTATTTTATTCATAAGGGTTTTAGTGCATGACATCATTGACTTTTTTGCTTGTTTACATTATCGATCTTTTAAACAAACAAAAAAATCAATAACATCATGTACTAAATTTCTTAGAAATAAAACACGCTTAAATAAATTATCAAGTATGTAGATTGCTGCGTATATTATGAAGACTTTTTGGCCTACAACAAAATGGAAAAGGCGAGCTTGAACTAAAATAGAAAAAGTTTTACTTGGTATGCATTTATTCTTTTGTTTTAATCAAAAAAGTGTAGCCCAAACATTTTTTTAAAATCATTCTCTTTAATATGAACAAAACATGTCTCGGAAGTTTGGAATCCCTTTAAATATAACGTAATTGGTTGTTTTTTTTTAAAGAGTCTATAAACAAAATTTAATACTTGATTAGAACTCAATAAATATGTTTTTTTTTAAATAAGTTATTGAAAAGGTGATTTACCTTTGAAACTATAGTTCTATACGTTTCTGTTGTTTTTCAAGTGAGATTTTAAGTGACAAGTAAGATTAAAAGTAACTAAAAATATTAAAATAAAAGCAAAACAAAACAAAAAAGGGGTGTTATGAGATATTGGGCCTCAAAGTTGGGTTATATAAAATAGTTGTTTTATTAATTTTCAAGTGTGTTCCCTGCATATTTCAGCATTTAAGGTATATTTATTGAGTTCAACATTAAAAAAGCATTATAAATGTTTATTTTCATATTAATGTCTTTGCTATTTTATTGGAGAAAATGTTTTTACAATATGTTATGAAAATGGAATCATTTTAGGAAACCAGGTCAATAATAAAATTGAAATATCTCAGGAATCGTTTAACATTTTGAGCCAAAACGTTTTGCATGAACTTTTTTTAAACATGCAACGGCCAAAGAGGTTTAAAGAAAATAGGGACCCATGGTTCAAAATTTCCTAAATTTTGGGTGATGTAATGTGGAATTACCCCTAAACTTTGGGTGATTTGATGTAGAGTTTTGGGATCATTTTAGGATCATGTGTATTGCTACTTAAGTTATTTTAGGACCGACACATGATTTAGAAGATTATGCTCAGTAGGAAGCTCAAGTTAGGTAATTTGTTAACTCTTAAAAAAATTTACTTGATTTTAGTTCAAACTCTCTTCTTTTTTTCCTTCACATTTTAAGTTCACAATTTAGAACTTTTATAAGAATTTTCTTTTTTATATTGGTTTTTATTTTGATCAAATATTTTTTTCAATTTTAACATTATTTTAATTATTTTATTAAGGCTTTAATTAACAACATGAAAATTAATTCACATAAATAAACATAATTAACAACATGAAAATTTATTTTACTAAACATTTTTAGATTAAAGATGACTAAAATAGTAAAAACATAAAAAAAAAGTAGAAAAATGAGTTTTGTGGCATTTCAAACTTTAAGTTACTATTTTTGAACTAGAATCTTTATAGAACTAATCTTATGGCTATGAGAGTAGTTTCTTAATTTTTAAATCTTTATCATTTTTTAGAGGATTCTACTATAGAGAGAAATAAATAAATGTGAGGGAAAGTTTTTTTTGAATAGCACCCTTATTAGACATAATTGTTAACATACACAGATTCCAAGCATTTAAATTATCTCAAAGTACTAAAAACCTAAAACAATAAGTTATTTTGTGTATATAATACATGTAAATGACTTTGTCCACAAAACTTTTATCATAAAGGATATGGTATAGAAAATCTGACCTCAGTTTCATTACAACATAATATAGATGAATACATCAAGAACTCATTTGGTAACTCTTTCAATGCAGGAGCAGGATTAAAAATAGTTGTAACTAAAAAATATATTTAATTAGATATTTTCTTTCTGTGTACATACATCCATACATACACACATACATACATACACACACATATATATATATATAAATAAATATAAATATATATATATATATATATATATATATATATATATATATATATATATATATATATATATATATATATATATATATACAAAATATATATATATATCATGTACATCATGGATTTATATATATCATGTATATATATATATATATATATATATATATATATATATATATATATATATATATATATATATATATATATATATATATCAATAAAAGTAAAGTTCCCATTACACAGTATTTCGTAATTTTCAGTGGGTTTTTTTGTTTTTGATTTTGTATTCAATGGCTAATGATTGCCATATAGGCATGAAACTTAACATACCATAGAAAAAGTTTTTTTTTTTTTTGTTAATACATATGTATATCGCTCTATTTAAAATATCTTTTTAATATTGAGCACTCTTTTACAACTATGAGTCATGTTTTATTATTATAATACAAAATAGCATTAAATATTTATATATACATACATATATAAATAAAAACGCGATGGTGTAAAATGAGTTGCATATTTGAAATCAAAAAAATAAATACTATAAAAAAACTAATTATTGAAAAAAAAGTTATTCAAAAGTATGTCAACTTGGGTCTCAAAAGAAGCGTATTTTCATATATTATTTTGGAAAACATATTTTTTCTCAAAACTCATTGACAAAAAAACTATGTGAAAAAATTATGAAGACTCTTAAAAATTTTTTAATAATAATAACATTATAAACTTCTGATTAAGTAATTTAAGAGGAATATCATTGATCTTACTCAGTTACTATAAACAGTTGCTATTTTAGTTGCTAAGGTTAATTAATAAAAACTATAACAGTTGCAAACTTAGTTGCTAAGGTTAATTTGAAAGTGTTTAAAAAACAAGGTATCTAAATAGAATTTAATTTTCAGCACAAATAAATTGATTATATCATGAAACTACACTCTACATAAAGTTTTATGATTTTTGAATATCTTTTGGCATTACCTTACTTTGCTACCTTACAGTAAATATTTCCTATAAAAAGTTCCTTAAGGTTATTAGCAACCTTAAAAAAAAAAAAGACTTATCGTTTTAAAACTAATACAAATCTTTTCAGACAAACACAAAAACAACCCTGATTATAACTTTAGACCAGGCTAAATAAATTTATAACTGAACCATCAGCCATAATTATAAAAACACAGAAAATAAAATAAAATAAAAATAATAATAATAAAAAAGGAAGAATACAAAGAAATAAATTAAGAAAAAGGAAAAATACAAACAAATAAATTAATTACAATTAGTTTACAATATAATTTTTTAAATTTGAAAAAGTTTAAAAAGAAGAATTTGTGAACCATAGTCAGTTTTAAAGAGAAGTCAATTACCACAGCAAATCATTATCTGTGGCTGTTCCACTGCAGCAATATGAGCAAGCTTTACAATGATCAGCTTAATGGTTTATAGTGCATGTCTCGTAACAACTTTTATAATAACAACTAATATAAAAATGTTATATTACATTAACTTACATTATAATAAATATTATAGTATAATATATATAAATATTAGTATTTTATACATAATATAACTTATATATTATATATACTTATATTTTAATTTAAAATATAACCTCCGTTTTCATATGCAATCTTTAAAGCATAGAGTGTTGTTGCCAAATCAACTTCAAGTTGAAAAAGAGCCACTTTGGCTTTTACTATGGTATCTATAGAAGCTTCAACTTGATCGGTTGAAATACAATTGTTTGCTCCTTTGGTTATCACAATGCTATTCTCACCTATAATAAAGTTTATAAAGCTGTAAAAACTTTACAAATGCTATTTCTAATATATAAAAAAACAATGAAATTAAACCTATAAACTATTAATAACTTACCAGACAAAACCAAGTCCAGCAAAACTACTAATAGAATTTTATTGGACATTTTTGTCAAAACATTATTTAAGGTGACTTAATAATATTAATAAGTGACCGACAGCAACTATTAATAATATTAATAAGCGACCGACAGCAACTATTAATAATATTAATAAGCGACCGACAGCAACTATTAAGTCAAAAGTTATAATTTAACAACTTTAGATTTAATAGTTGCTGTCGGCAACTATCAAAGTAGTGAATTTGTATACAAAAAAAATTATTTTATTAGATTATTAATAGACAAAAGTTTAATTATTTAAATTATAATATTTAATATTTTTAGTGATATAATTTATATATTTAAAAAAAAAAGTAGTTAAATCTCTATAGCTTTAAAATAAATAATTAAGATTTTTTCGATTCTCTTTTTAAATTCTATTTTTATTATTATAATTATTCAAATATTTTATTTGAAATAAATATTTAAATTTATACCACAATAAATGTATATTTTTAACTTTCACAATAATGTTATTTTAAATATTTACTTTAAACGAAATTCAAATATATATATTCTGAATAAAGTTTAATTAACACCAAGGACATTTATAAACAGTAATAAGTAAACACCAGTGTAATAAGTTGTTAATACGAGTCAAGACATTTTTCCTCACATTTTTTAAAACTTGAATATTAAAAAATTTTTTTAAAATATATTTAGCTAAGAAAAACTATTTGCTTTCAGCACTTTATCTGTTCTCTTTCTTTAAATATACCAAAAATCATTTATCTATATATCATCATCAATCATATATCTAAAAAATCATTTCTTGAGAGATTTGGTATAAACTTCTAGAGAGCATATATCTGAAACTCATTTATGGAAAAGAAATGAGTTTCAGATATATGCAAAAGTCAGGTTGGTTATTCTGCTGGCAAACCTTCTAGTGCCAAGACCATCAAGACTTTGTTGTTTCGCTTTTGACAGGCATTGTTGTTTGGCTGCAACAAATGTTAAAAGAAAAGTGTAACCACAAACCCATGTTCATTATTTGCCAACACCATGTGCTAGATTGCATCGTTTGTGTTGTAATGTATGATGAGCTCAATGGATTGACTAAATCACCAAAAATTTAGTACTTTTTTGTGAAGCATTTGATGAGCAATTATGATAAATTGTAATCAGCTTTTAATAATGGTAAAAATGAAAATAATAACTCCTTGTCTTAAAATCGTGACTCGCATAGCAGTTCATAAATAATTATGAAAATTCCAAAACATCTATAGCGATTGTGGAAAACTTTAAAAATGTCAGAAACGAGAATAATCTCTTAAGCTGATGCTTCAATCCATTTATTAATTGCATTTTAGATTCCTTAAAAGTCACTTGTAACAATTGAATAAAACAGATATAAGAGATACTTTAAATTTTTTTTCAATGATATAAAAGATTTTTTTTGTTTGATCACCACTATAAATGTCTTCTTTATTTAATATCAAAAACAATATGTTTATGTATTTCCTTTACTTCATTAAGATTACATAATTAAAAATTTGGAAAAAATTTTTTTGTTTTATTTCAACATGGTATATTTTGATCACGAAACTAAGATAATAGAATATTTTTTTTAAGTTTTTTAATATTATTTAAGCTAATTCATTGAACAACAAAAAAAAAAGTTGATTGTAAAATTCTGACAAGTAGTTTTTGTTTTATACTCTTTCAATTGACTTTAATCATAGTTTGTTATTTTACACATAGCCATAAAGCAGTTTTTAACTCAGTCACAAAAGATTTAATGAGAAAAAGCATATCCTGAAAAATTAAACAAAATATTTCCACTTATGAGTTATGGTTATTTAAAATTTCTGATTTTAATTTATAAATCTAAAAACAAAGGGTTTTGGTTTAAACCAAAAACTATTTGATTTTGGTTAAATAAACAAAAAAACCGATTTGATTTTGATTAAGTAAACCATGTGGTTCTTTGAAAACAATAATAACTTTCAATTTGCTGTTGCAAAAAACCCAATGAAAAGGTTAACATCAAATTTTTAAGCCACATTTTGTCCATAAAGGCCGCCTGAAAAAACTAAAATTCATTTAATAACTTTTTTTTTATTTTTGGCAGAGATCACAGATTTTTGATAGGTGATATTTTATAACTATTGCTAGAAACAAGTAACATCATTTACTAACATCCCCTTCCCCCATGCACACACTTTTACTCCTTTCCTCTTTTATTTGACACCTAATTGTACACACTAAAAAAAAGGTATAACTTTCTACCTTTAGAGAATATATCAAACATCATACCCCTTTAAGGTAGAAAATTATACCTTTAAGGTAAAAATATACAAAAAACGGTTAAATAAATAATTTTCTACCTTAAGGGGAAGGATATGTGATATACCCTTAAAGGTATGATGCGTGATATACTATAAAGTTTTTTCTACTTTTTTTTTTTAGTGTGTAGGAACCAAATACTTGGTTTATCAGTACATTTAAATTTAGATTACAACTAATATCATGCAATAAGAGTTATTTGATTTGTTACCATAATTCACAAGTTTATTATGTAATTATCTAATGTATTATGTATTAAAAACTTTATGTAACAAAAAATTAACATTTAATCACTCAAGAATTTGTTTGAGATCAATTTTAAGCTTTATATCAATTTTAGTATAAAGATTAATATAAAAATTTTGTTGTTATATAATTGTTATACTCTAAAAAAAGAACACATGCTACATAAGTTCTAAAAGAAAAAGAAGCAAGTAGCATTGCAAGGGTCTGTGGTATTGTTAAAACGTTTGTAAAAACATTGTCAAACAACTTCTCATTAGGGTGATTACTTTCAAGGTGATTTGATAAAAAAATGTCAGCACAAAATGGTTAAATTTTTTTATTTATTAGCATTTTTTCTCTTAACTATAGAGGTCCCATTAAGCTGTTACAAAATTAAACACAAGCTTCAGAATCAAATATATATGCAACATTTATAAGGTTATCAAGCACACAAGGAAGTCAATTATTTTTGATAATGTCATTGGACAGGAGAAACCTTAGTAGGAGGTTGTCCTTGTTGCGACAGGAGTCATACAGGTCTTGCAAAACTTTGATTACACGCTCACAGCACTGGTTGCTTTGGGCAATGTTGATTGGAGATTTATATGTTTTCCAGTGCTTTTGCAAGCATCTGAGATCTTCTGGATAGTCATTCAGCACTGCAGATAGTTCATTGAAATCTTCAGTGTGGAACAATTGACTGATAAACTAATGGTTGGCCTATGGAAAAAAAAGAAATAAACAGTTTTTACGCAGCCTGTTATGGGTTTCAAACATTAGAATAAACGCAAGATAAGTTAGAATGGCTCAAGAGTTTCAGCGTGCATTGCTGATGTTTGGGATCTGTTGAAACTTAACGAAGAGTATCATAAAGTTTCAACAATATGGCGGCGAAAGACATAAGTGAGATGGTAAAAAAACGACTTGTTGTCTCTCCAGCTGCCTGTTCCATTATTTTCATTTTTACCATTATTAAAAGCTGATTACAATTTATCATAATTGCTCATCAAATGCTTCACAAAGAAGTACTAAATTTTTAGTGATTTAGTCAATCCATTGAGCTCATCATACATTACAACACAAACGATGCAATCTAGCACATGGTGTTGGCAAATAATGAACATGGGTTTGTGGTTACACTTTTCTTTTAACATTTGTTGCAGCCAAACAACAATGCCTGTCAAAAGCGAAACAACAAAGTCTCGATGGTCTTGGCACTAGAAGGTTTGTCAGCAGAATAACTAACCTGACTTTTGTTCTCAAATTGTAGTTTATACAATTCTCATCCTCTTTGCACAACCATTTGCTTTTAACCTTAGTGATGCCAAGTACTTCATTCAATGCATTAAAGTTTTGTTTCTTTCTGCAGTGCTCATAGTTTTTCCAAAGTATTACTAATTTTTTCACAAATGACATGATCAAATACATAAGCAAAGCTAAACATTTTGCTACATAGGGCTTAAACAGCTCACTTATATAAAAGTTATAATCACACTGCAAAACAACAAAGAAAATTTTACAACAATTTTCTTTAGTTGTTAAAGCTCCTGTTGAGTTAAAGAAAATTTTACAAAAATTTTCTTTAACTCTACAGGAGCTTCTCGAACGCCCAACATTCTATGTTTTGAAAAATTTCAAACAATTCTCTCAGGGCAGTACCATGAAATTTTTTATTTTATAAACAATCTTTTATTTTTTAATTTTTTAAACATTTTTGATTATTTACAGGCTTTTACAGAAGACATGTGATCGCACCTCTTTATATGACCAAACAAATTACATTTTGCTATGACGATTTGACTGCGGCTAATTCAAAAAACATTTTAAAAACGTGCTAAATGAAAAATATTCTGATAAAGTGAAATTAACAAATAAAATCAAAACTTTTTAACAATTGTTTTTATATTAGCAAAATGCTTTTAAATAAAGTAACAATTTACTAATGTTTTTTTTTTTAATATAATTGACAGTTGTATATATTTTTTTAATTTACAATATATAAGTTGTTTAAGTGTGCATTTCTATAATAAACGTTATTAAAGAATAAATTTTTTTTTGTTTTTTTTAAACAATGACATTCTACGACTACGAAAGTCTCTTTAATGAAACTTAATATAAGAATAATTAAAGTTAATATATTTAAAAAGATAAACAAAATTTCATTGAAAAAAAAAGTTTTAGAAAGTTGTTACAACTAAAAAAGTTTGACCTTATATGCTTTTATATTATCAAAACGCTTTTCAATGAAATAACAAAACACTTCTAATTAATTTTTAAAATAAGTATTAATAAACTGCTTTTTTTTAAATTTATATAATTATGTATTTTTAATGAGAAATGTTTAT